GAGAGAGAGAGAGAGAGAGAGAGAGAGAGAGAGAGAGAGAGAGCGAGAGTGAGAGTGAGAGTGAGAAGACAGGAAGAAAAAGAGTGATTATATATAAAAAAAAGATTTTTCTTCGCGACTTTCAATTTTAATCCGTTGATAATCGTGATTAACGACGGAATGGATTCTCGTGCGGATCTCTGCGCGCGGTCGGACTTAATCTCACGTTGCCACTAATTCGACGGACTATATTTAATTCCGCGTGGATTCGGCGCAACGCGGGCCTTTATTAAAAAATGATTAAATGCATCGACATGAGCGCACACCGTAATGGGGTGGAAACGCGACTGCTCTGTGATCGGTTATCACCGCGAAATATTTAATTAGTGCGATGATAATTGGCGTCGAAATTGCCGACATAAATATTCAGCCGCGTCGCTGTTTAATAATTCGGACCTTCTGCCTCGTCTCGGCTGGCGTGCGCGTCCTTTCAATTTGGACGGTTAATGATGATTTAATTACCGTCCCACACGTCGAGAGAGCTGGATCTCATTGCATTGCTCGACGGATGGGTTGTTCGACATTGCCGCGTGCGAGATAACCGGAAACCGTAAATAAACTGGCCGTATTTATTTTGCCTGCGAATTTTGGCAACGAGCGTTTTTACGCTGTCTTGATTGCGTCGTGACACTTGATGGAATGCAACGCGATCTTTTCTCTCTCTTTTTCTCTTCTCTTCTCTCCCTCTCTTTCTCTCTTTCGTGTTGACATATCGCCGTCGATTTGCTCGAGGTTCGATATTCCGCGCGCAAAATAAAACGGTTTCATTTCAATTTTTCGGAAATATTTGGCCGACCGCAGGTGATCGAACCATTTAGTACAGCGCTCCTCAATATATGATCCTGTTGGACAATTTCGACAATGTTATTCTGCACTCGAGAATAAATAAAAAAAAAAAGAATATAAAGAAGTAGGTACATAGATAAAATTCATTTGTAGCATAGGAGAAGATTATTCAGCTAATTTTACGTAATGTTTAGAGAATCTTATTAATTGTTAGAAATTTATATTATTGAAAATTAAAATGTTAAAAAAATAGTTGGTGTTATAAATATTATCATCAAGAATCATATATATGTGTGATTGTCAGGATGTCTAATTAAAAATATTCTCGTCGAGGACGACTCCATATTCCTCGAAGAATTGGAAGGGACATTTTTCGAAGTTATACAATTTCACATTGTAAGAATAAATAATTCAAAGCAGCTTTCTAAGAATAGCCGCTAATAAACTAACCAACCTACATTACAGCCGACATTCTAGCTGGCAATTTCAGGCAGAGATGCCCGATGGCTGGAGCGTAAATCGAGTCGCATTGTAAGGTTTCCGTTGTACACGTGCGAGACTGAAATGGGCGCCATTATGAGCCGCCGGTAGACGTTGCGAATACCTGCACTTGCGAGTGCCGCGTTCTCATAGCGAGGCAAAGGTTGAAGGTTGGAACTTCAGAAGCCGCGACGCGAGGGCCGCTAATCTATTCCCGGCTTAAATAAGCGCTTCGACATTTAAACCCCGCCGCGAAGCTCGTGGAAATAAAATGGCTTTCTTTACGATGGCCTGCGGCGGAATTCTACGGGAATATCGTAGACGGTGCGGCGCGCATGATGAGACTGATAATTTACAACAATTGTTGTTCTAACTTGCGCGAACTGCTGCGAATTGCTGCTAAGGGATCAACGGCTCCAAGCGGCTTAGATAAATAAGCAGACGTGTCTATTACACAGAGACCGACTAGAGAGAGATTCTTATTCGTTCATCAAAAGGACGCTGGATATCGACATGATGCAGCTTTGTAGTTTGCATTGTTTTTCTATTTGGTTGCACAGATTTGCAAGTGTTTTCAGAGAGTGAGAGTACAAATATCAATGCATGGAAAGCTTTTTTATTTACAAAAACTTTTTTATTTTCAATAGAAGATTTGATGCCTTTCTGTGCATTGATATTTGAGTTTCACTCTGTAAAAGCATTCGCAATTCTATGCAATTAAATAGAAAAATAATGCAAACTACAAAACTTGCATTATGTCGGTATCCAACATCCCCTTAAATATTTGTTGTAAATATAGACGTTGAGACGAGTGAAATTCGAGAAACCTTTCGCAATATAAAACCAGCTCGAGCTGGTGTCTAATACGTTTTATACGAGTATTGTGCATGTTATATCGAAGAAAATGGAATGGAATAATAACATTAATAACGAGCGGATTGAATGTTTGGTTTCAGGTGGACCCAGATGACGCTATGACTCACGATCTGACAACCACTTTGAGAAGCGAGCTGGCGGCCCTCGAGTACAAGCGAGACAGGCTAATGTCCGAGGTAAACCGATTATCGGTTCTACGGTACTTTCGGTAATCACTCGCGTTATTAATTCAACGTTTCTCGGCTCGTTTAGCTGCAAGAGATGAAGAGCGTAGTGAGATCGCGGGACCAGAGGGTCGTGGAGTTGCAGGTGGAAGCTGATCAGCTTCGTGAGCAAGCGGCCAGGCAAAATTCCGTGGTCTCGAGTCTCAAGAAGCGCATTCAGGTGAATTTGCCTACCTAATAAATGGATGATTAAAGGGCACCTTCTCGTTGACGCGCGTCCCGAGACAATTTGCTTCTTTTCTTTCGTTCGTTCTAATCTCTGTCAAAGGAAAGATCGACTTCGAATTCGCGTATACGCCGAACACGTAATCGAGACACATTAGACCGTCGACACGTTCTTTAGAATTCTATAACAATTTAAGGAATTGGAGGAGAGGGAGAGGAATCTGTACGCGAACCAGGGTAGAAGCGAAATTACGATCCAAGGACTGCAACGTGACGTCAAGTACCACGAGGAGAAGGTCAGGGAGTATGACAAGAAGATTCGACAGTTGGACCACAATATAGCGGAGGAGATCCAATTAAAGGAGCGCGCACGTTTGAATCTGCAGGTGCCACGCGTTCTAATACGTGCGTCCAATCGAGCCATTTCTCACCGGAGAAATTACGTATCGATTGATCTATTACCGCGCGCCAAACGTCCGGTTTCTCGGCATATCTTACATTTGTCTCGGTAGGACTTCGTACGGAGATTGGCACACGCATTAAACGCCGAGTACTGCGAGACGGCGCACCACAGCCCCGAGACGGTGATCCACAAGGCTGAGGAACTCATGCAAGAGGTGAATCGACTGCGTACGAAAAGCTCGAACGTTGAGACGCAGTTGACGGGAGTCGAGGTGGACTTCAGGACGTGCAGAGACGCCCTGGATCGCGCCAGCGCCGAGAAAGATCAACTGCAGAGACAGGTGTCCAACCAGCTGGTCGATCTGGACCGTTTGCGTCAGGTACGACGGTCGAAATGTTATTGATCGATAAGCGCGGCGCGGCATACAACTTTTAATCAAGAAACATGCGTACATACACATTATCAGTAAGAACTTTAAAATAATCTTGAAGTGGAATCTAACGGATATTATTAAGTAGATAAAACGGTTATTATTACTGTTATTATTATATACAACTATTATCATTAATCACAATTATTATCATTAACTTCGTGATAAAATATGTCACTGCCTATTGGCAGTGTAAAGACAATTTTTTTACTTCAAATGTGTTATATTTCAGTTGTGGATATTGTGCTATTATTTTAATTGTTTCAGTTATTTCGAGGTCCATAAGATCACTGAATATCACGTTGTTAATTATTTTATTTTTATGCAGGAGAAAGAGTGTTTGGAGATGCAATATAGGGTCGCGGAAAGAGATACGAACGACCTGAGAGACAAACTTGTGAACACAAACAGAAGCTTAACTAGCGCGACGGGAAACATATCCAATCAGGAAGCATTGATCTGCCAATTACGAGGTAAACTACGGCGACTGGATCGATTCGGCCTTGCATCTTCTTGTAATTTGTAATCTGCTCTTGCAGAGGACTTGAAGGCTCGCGAGGAGAAAACGCAACGCCTGCAAAATGAGTTACGTCACCTCCTGGAGTCCTTGGCGATCCTCGTCAGTACACCCAGCCGATTCGTCGAGTCTCATGAGAACGCGATCAAGGATCGTGTTCGGGAGATCCTGGCCGATAACAAGGATCAGTCACTAGTAGCTTATCGTGCATTTAAATATCGTCACTCTTCAGCCAAAATCATTCTCGCGCAATTTTATAATCTTTCGTTGTTGCTGATTAAACACACTGAAAGTTTCGCTTATAGAAATTCTATGTGCGTTTTTGAGGTATAAATTACTGAGATGTGTTTCAAGCCGCTGAAATACGTTGTTTCATAAATAAATCCTGAAAGAAAATCTTTTTCTCAAGGCTAACATTCGACGTAAATTTTAACTTGCATCTCGAGATTATTTTATTTGCATTTATGAAGATATCGCAATTCCGGAGAAAATTGCGATTTCGTGATTTTGGCGTGTGTAGGAGACGATTCTAATCAGTGTGATATGTCGGAACTCATAACGTCACGGACGCATCACCCTCTCCTTTTGCAGAAAATACAAAGTCTCCGTGAGAAGGTGAACTCGGCGACGGAGTCGACGAATCGGCAGAGTGAGTTGGTCGAATCCACGATGATGAAGGTGCGCAGTTTGGAAGAGGAGCGCGCCGGTTTGGAAGCTAAAATACACAAGTTGGAATCCGAACTCACGAGTAGCGAACTCGCTCGAGAGTCTTTACGCAGAGACAAGCAGACGGTAACTTTAAACATTTCTGTCGCTTGGGAGCGTTATAACGATCTTGACGTTTAATATGGGACGGAAAGTTAAAAATCTTGGGCTATCTATCTTATATTTTTATCTTCTATTAGACACCTGAAACGCGCTGTTGATACCTAAATTCTTTTCAAGTAATATCGCGCAGTCACACTATATATGGCAAAGAGATAGAAGTTATTTACATACCTTATTTAAGGTAGGATTATTAAGCAGAAGATTGAACAAGTAAGTTGGAAACTGATAATAATTTGATTAAATTCATAAATCCCCTAAACTGTTCTAATAATATCTATATAGCGACTATTCTTCGACTTATATAGGTACAAAATCCTGTAGAGATCAATCTTACAGTTGAATTCGTCATAATTTTTTTCAGTTCCTAACTTTCCTGGATCGACTGGGCAAGGCGATGCAAATGGACGAGATCTCTCAGGAGATCGGGATCGATCTTCACACCGAGTCGTTGCTGGTGCGGGCCGAACAACTAGCCAGATTGGAGACCGACAAACTGGTCGACAAGGTGAAGGGCACGATCGATATTACGTTTTTCCGATGGCGCTATCACGTTGCTAACGTCTCCTTTGTTCTTGTTTCTTTGTCGCAAATCGTGTGCTTACCACACGCGCAGTATTTGTGCTGCAGCTACACGACCCTACCGAGGATTCGGCGCGAGCGATCGTTCCACGAGCTCCCCTGTCTCAAAGAAGTAAGCCCCCGGCGCGAACAAAGCGCCTTAGAGAAGCTTCACAACATCCTCAGATATCCTACGTAGACGTTCATTTCGTTACCGGCTACCATTCTCTGCGAAGTATCTCTAGAGATACTCTAGAGATAGTAGAGAGAGACGCTTTCTTTTTGTTTCTCCACTATTTGAAGATTTCTCGATTATTTCGCGGCCGAGGATCGGACGCGTCGGTACAACATCCGAGCTCTGCTCGCGACGTTGAATTGTTGGTCAACATCGACAATTTGTCGGACACATAGCGTAGTGAAGTTCCATTTAACATGAGCTCGCTACTCGCGGCTCATTGATACCGCGAACGCTCTTTTCAGCGTAAGACAGGGACACCTGGCGTGCAAACTCTTAATTAAATAACCTTTGGTAACGCGATTAAAATGATCAACGAAACATAATCTTACTTCCGAACAATTTTCTCTTATTTTACAAGAGTAAACATTCATTTTCTTAGAAATAGAAAATCTCGTGTACAGAGAAAAAGGTATGGTGCACACAATCAGAAATATTTATTTACAAACAGCATAGTAGCATCATCCCAGTTATTTTTGCATGATGGCAATATAGTCGATATGATTCAGTTAACATCAACTACATCAATGTAGTCGCGCGTGATCTGGCCGTGGCAACCAGATATCGTCACTGTAAAGCAATCGTCAGCAATTGCTCTGTGGTTGCAGCGAGCACATAATTGATCGTTTTACCATCGACTCTGGCACAACCAGATTTATGTGTAAGCCGACCATACTGTTTTTTCCGTGTACAGGTATGTTGGAACGAAGTTATCGCAATGCGCGCAAACACGATCACTATTTAATTCACGAGTCATCTCCCCCCTTCATCAGGTGTCACGTATCATCACTCAAACTCCAGCTCGGCACGTTTACGTTCTGCAGTAATGTGTATTCGCACGCATCGTCGCATTCGCCCGGAAAATCACTTCGCTGTTTAGATCGATGTATTTGACGAATGCGTTTTCTTTGCCGCGCAGACCTCCGTGGTGTATCAGTTGCAACGACGAGTCCGGACGCTACGAGAGCAACTGCAACGCAGAGACCTGCATTTGGATCTTCTACGTAGGAAACTATCATTGCAGGAGGACAGCGTGAGGATGAAGTCACTGTTGCAGAGCGAACGGGACGAGGCCAACATTCGGTCTGTTCTGAGACAATTTCAGATTAATTGCTATAATTTCAACGACATCTTCAGTTTTTCCCCATGAGAGCTCACATTAGAGCTCGAATAGTTCGCCAACATTATTTGAGCCATTAGGAGATAATTTCCTTATTACGCCACTCAATTTATTTTTTTTTCTCATACAAAGCGCTTGAAAGGATAATTCTCGCGAATAATCGGCAACCCGTGGATCGAGTTTGCGCAAGAATGATTCTCATTTAAATTACAACAGAAATTAATGGCAGTGTAGTTATCACCGACAGTCGCAGTAATTGGTTTTTTTTTTTTTTTCGTTACAACTGACCCCCGATCTCTTCAGTATCTACCGGATGCGAAATGTCGATGGGGAAACAATACCTATCGACTAGCTGTCCAATGAGAGAGAAATATAGAACTGCGGTTTATCGGCAAATTTATCCGGCCGAGTGCAGCTTTATGCATTCGAAATGCAGCATTGTCGAAGCGTTTGAGGCTTTTTTTTTTCGTGTATCGCCGGTGCGCTCACCAGCGGTTACCTGTAATTCCTGTTAGTGGATCGCGGTCTACTCTGTGCACGCGCCGAATGTAGTTTTACGCATCGTTGCCGAACGTTGGGCCGCGTCGATACTCGACGAGCGAAATGAAAACGAAAAAAGGAGAAGCCGCGAGCGACCCTCTTTTTTTCTTTCTTTCAGCGCGAAGAAGCTGGTGAAGCAGGTCGAGCGATTTCAGGTCCAATTGTCGGAGGAAAAGTCACGGAATCGGGAATTGAGCGCACAATTGACGGAAGCGGCGGACTACAAGGCACGTAATTTCGAGAATCGTACTTTCTCATAATCAGGTAACGTAGCGGCGTGTGGCAATCTTGCCGCTACTTTGCGGTCGATTACGACTGTGTCGGACACTATATAATCGATGTTCCAGGAAAATGGTTCCTTATAACTTTCCTGCAAATTTCGTACATGGATTTTATGGACTTCCTTCACATTTCTTCAAATTCACGACACAGCACTTTACGCCTCTACTGCTTCTGATCTGTTTCTCGCGCTTAAAACGCGATACCATACCACCGTGATATATCTGCGATGTTTAGCGCATTAAAATGTTCATAATTCTTATTATTATATTTCAGGAAATTATTAATCGATATTTGAATTCCTTCTGCTATAGTTTTGCTGTATACCGATTTGTCAATTATATTTTGTTCCATTGTTTGTTGTTATCTTATCTGGTTCGAGGAAAAGAATTCGTTACACCGGTTTTACACCCGCAAACGGCGCGACGTTTGCCGGGAAAACAAAATTCCACAGCGAATTCCGCTCATGGCCGTGCTAGAAAGCCTTCATAATCCGTAGCTATCGATCAGACATTTTAACCCACTTTGCAGATAGCTGCGCTGGAACGCAGTCGGAAAATAGAGGAGCTGCAGAAGCGTCTCGTGGAAAGTGAGATGCTGCGAACGCGTTACAACAGGAAGTTGACGATGGTGAAGGAGCAGATGAGGACGACCGCGGAAACGGCCGATCAGGAGAGATCGATCAACGACCATTCCCTGCAGCTCCTTCGCGACGAGCTCGCTCAGGTCAAGCAAAATCTCTCCGAGGTCACAAGGAGAGAATCCCAGGTAAGAGAAAGAGGGGGGAAAGGGAGAGAGAAGAAAAGAAAGAGACAGATGCATTATCACTCCTTACGAAATATCGCGCGCGGTATTTAGCACCCGCGGCGTATCTACGATCGCGTAGAAATTCGCGTTGTGACACGTCTCATTATTAATATAATGATAAAATAACACGACAAATCATCGAGATAAACTGCAGCTGACCGAAGCGGACGGCACATAAATCGGCCATTAATATCGGGAAAACGACTCGACGTGCGCCTTGCACGCCGAAAACGAACGAGGCGCGTGTCTCAATGCCGAATCGTGTATTCGGCACGCGCATTAGTATTCACGTGATTCTGATTTATGACCATTCGTGTGCGCGAATGCGGATTCGCGGGCAATTGAATTGCGTGAGAGGAGCTTCGCCGTATAAAAACGATGATGATGACGGAGTCGTCTCGTTGCATCGTAGGGCACGCGGCTACGCAATGCATTCTACGCGCATCGCATATCAAACGTCCACTTTCTGTACGTAATGTTTTTCGGGGTGAAGGATGCATTTCGTATGGGACTTCTCATAAGTGGTCAGATCTCTCAGTTCCAAATTCGCGATGCTTTATGCACATGTGGATCAGGGAAAAAGAAGGCCATTAAAAATTTTATATATACATATGAAATATTTTCTTTTTTAGTAACAATAAAGGCTTGCTACGTATAATAAAAATAGAAACTATTGTTAAGATAAAACTGTTGACATTCTCACTTAAAATTAAGAAGAAGAAGCAAAGCTGTTGCATTTACCAGAGCTGTAAATTTTCTTGAGAAGATTTTTATTCTATCAAAAAGATTGAATAAACCAGAATAAACCGAGACGGTTTGACCAAATCTGAGACAAATCAGTAAGCCGGATAACGTTCAAAGAAATCTGGGACATAAAGTGAAAAATCAGGTCTGTCCCGGGAAAACTGGGACGTCTGGTCACTTTAATTTTCAGCCACACAAAGCGAGAAAGGGAGGAAAAGCTGCCCGCACTGGCGCTCTGCCGAAATAACATTCAATTATAATGCAAATTCGCGTTATCTTCCGGAAGTTATAATTTTGCCGTAATCCATAGTTCCGCCGCTCGCGGCGCTTTGATCTCTTATTAAAGCCGTGAGCGCGTCCGCAAGCAGCTTACTCCTGATACTCGCGGGAAGGTGGGGAGGCCGAAGGGACTCGTTAATTCATTGAGGCGGTCTCAATGACTCTCGATGACAGCCATTCGCGTAATTGCGATCTCTCGTCGGGCGCATAACGCTCGTTCAGAACGATTTGGAGTGACTTTACGCTTTAGTAATTCGAGACACGTTCGGTGCACGTCGCCGGGCTATGAAGTAGATAGTCCCTTCGATTTAAGCGGCATACTCCGTGAAAGGACTGTAAATCTTACATACCACTCCGCCGCGATGCTCTATCCCGACGTCGCTGCTGCAACTTTGTTCGTCGCGGCGGAACTTTGATTCAATTCGCGTAAGCTAACATTAATTAAATATGATAACTCGTGTGCACGCACACGAGAGTCTCTCTCGATTTAATTACGCTACTACATTTCTCCGTTTAATAGAATAATCAATTTCAATTGCGCACGGCAAAAACAATTCCAGTTCGGCTAACTAAATGGGGACCAGACGAAAAACTCGCCGACGAGAAATAATATCGCCGTGACAGTGACCGAAAACACTCGTTTGAACATTCAGCTGCATTAAAAGTCAGCTGAGATAACTGAGAGCAATCGTCTAGGAAATCTCCTACGGGAATCTTTCTGCTCCCACAACCTTAGTTTTTCATGCAGTTCCCAAGTAACAGAAAATTCAGTTACGTTAATAGATTTGTGTTTGTTTAAAATAGTGGGAAAAAAGGACAAAAAATGTCATTGAATATAAAGAAAAATGGAGTCGTGTACGGAAATGTGACAAATTTTAATAGTTTTGGTGTCGCGAATCTGTGCGAAAATTATTGGATTTTTTATATAACGACACAATGTGTATTATTGTTGCGCGTCAGGCTACTTAATATCGCGAAATATTTACAGCGACGTTTTACAAATTAAATTTTGTTTAGCAGTCTATATACGTAGAAATGATTACCTATCTAGAATCGTGAGGAGCACGACTGATAGGAAAGTTAACGCTCGGACGAGTCACCCGTGTAAGCTACGAGTATGACTCAATTTGCAAATCGCTCATTTCCTGTCTCAGCTTCAGAGCTTCCGTGTCTCCGTGGCGAAGTTATTGTCGGAGCCAATCTGTACACCCGATTACGAGATCATTTCGCGGCTGCAGAAAATGGTCGCGGCTCATCGCGACTTTACAATGCTCTCGCGCAGATACGACGAGCCCTTGGAAACGAGTCCTTCCAGATGCACCAGGTACTTTTAGATGAGAGTAATTAAGAGCGAATGTTGTCGTATTTTCAATAGTTTACACTTCCTCTGAAATTCGTCGATATCATTGGTATCGATTGAACAATGTCGCGCAGCTGTTTTATTATTCTGAGGAGCACAGTGGTCAATTTTATAATTTTTGCATGATGAACTTCGTAAAGAAGCCTGCCTATTTTGGACTCCTCGCGGTTATTGTAAATCGCATACTCGATAGAGGAATGATAGACTATTGAAAATCAGTACGTGCCTGTAACAATAGATAACAAATACTTCAAGTTAGTAATTCAAGGTAGTTTATGTTACCCATTACGAATAACCGAATAAAAAATTGCCGTTTAGTACATTTTTCCAATGTTTTAAAGAGAGTATCTTTGTGTGAACAGCGTTCTAACTAAAATGTAGTTTATAACACTATATATGTCTACAACAGTCTTATAGCGTCCACTTAGAAAATTATGTCTATAGAATTTTGATTCTCTAACAACACTTTCATTTTAGCTAAGTCTCGTTATTAACCGCGAGGAGCCCACAAAGGTGTTGTGTGGACCAAGTTCTTCGAATAATTATTTAAAAAAGAAATTAATTGATTTTTAATGACATCTTTTTTGTCAGCGTTAATAAGTACCTTTTTCAAAATATAAAAGAAAAATGACGTAAACCTGTGCAGGAAGATGTTTACGGTTGCGTAAGTGTCACGCATTATACCACAATTTTGCGTTTTCCCACATTGTTACAGCATCCATCCGGTTCACCCGCCGAGATCACCGGGTTCACGCTGCACCCGTTACGAGGACAGCGGATTCGCGGACCCGCCGGACCTCCATGACATCGACGATGATTACAGCAAGAGACCGGTGAGAAGCAGCCTTCTTCCGTGACACCGGCCAAGGTTCAAGTTCTAAGCGCGCTCCCTGAAGAGAGAGATCGCACGATTTAAGCGTTCGATCTACTTTACGAAATCGGAACTTCGAGTTGCGACCTCATATGGCCGAACGACGCCACGAAGGGAAACTACTTCGCCTGTGTACATGTAGTAAAGCGTTACGTTTACTCCGCGTAAACGAGCGACTTTTACGAAGTGGAGAGGACCATTCGCTCGCATCCCAGTAACGTAGCTTCGCAAATCAAGCTGCAGTATCGCTATAAGATCGCTCGTATGGTTATCGAGCGATCGAATGGCTCGCGACACCAATCCCGACCGGAATAAACGTATGGAAACATCAAACCATCGATCCGTGTTATTACGGGGGATGGAAGAGGAAATCGTTCCGTCTGTGTGAAATCGCAATTTCGCGCTAATTGGCGAGCGTGAGAAATTTCTAACGGATCACACGGAAGTGCGATACAGAACTTGGTGGGTCACACTGCCTCGGGCGAAAACTGTCGGAAGTGTTCAACGAAAATTATGGTCAAGTCGTTCGCTACACCGAAAAAAAGGTTTGATAAAAAAAAGTTTGGTAAAGGTTTGGATAACCATCAAGACTGAATGATAGTTGCCAGATGCTTTGGTGAAATAGTTTCAACTAAACATAGCCGGATATATAAGCAAATAATTTGACAAAATTTAACAAATAATCTTAGCAAGGCTTGTGGTATCTATTGCCAAGGCTTGGTACCTGTTGCTAAGGCTTGATGACCAATTTATGTGATACCAAGCAATTTGTTAAATAAAAACTGTATTGTTTAGTGATACCACATTATGTGATAAATATACGAAACGACCAAATATTTTGGTAACAGTCAAACTATTTAGGAATTGTTACCAAATTGTTAACAAGTTATTTGGTATTACTTACCAAACCACTTATTTGGTTTGACTAAACAAAGAATTTGTTTTGCTAATCATTTTTATAATTATTATCGGACGGTCAGTAACTATTACCATACATGATACTAATTATCAAACGTCACACTGAACTGCCCAACTAAATGCATTTGTTAACTGTTACAACACTTTTTTCAGTGTAGCATTGTGGTGTTATAGTTAAGATAATTTTTCACAAATATACTCTCTAAAGTACAGTCAGTGTATTCTTCACTGAAATGCTATACTTGTAACTAGTGGTTCAGTTATAAGTATAGCACTGCAATCAGTAAAACCTCGTTAGTGAAACCAGTTAATAGCAGCTATTATTCTCATTATTGATGCATTTTGTGGGCACAAATTATACGTAAAAATGCATGGGAGTCGTCAATTCCGTCGTTACAAACGCAGAAAGCTGAATTTACGTATATCGTATAACAAGTTTGTTTATTACAGATTTTACAGTGAAATCTTACTTCTACTGACGAAGCGGGAGTATGTTGTCACTGAAAATTAGAGAACATTTACTGATTATTGGGGAAACAGTCCTTTAGCTGATGCGATCAGAAACCATTTTACTGATTCACTTTAGGAGAGTAATATATTTACGAGCCGGGACCGCGTAGGACTTCGATTCATAAACGCGAATAAAAGAATCATTTTACATGTATACAAGAGTCGTTCCCGAAAGAACCGACTGGATGTGCTACTTTGAGTATTCAAAAATTGTCATTAACAAACACGCACACGCGTCGGGAACGAATAAGAATAAGCGTGATGACAAAAAAGTGAAGAAGCGCGCAAAGTAAGCAAGATGTACGAAAAAGCCAATTTGTGTAGAGAAATACGAGTCTCGAACAATACGAATCAAAGACTGAATAATAAGATTTTAGATTCACCGATACACACATTTACATTTTTAATTGCGTTTAACTTACAGACTATTCGCACACATAGAAATATATCTCGAAAAATTTTATTTTAATTAAATTATATACTCGACTCTCTATCGATATATATATATATATATATATATATATATATATATATATATATATATATTAAAAACGTGTGCAATGTCCATCTTAACGAAGATCTAAGTGTTCATAAAAATTTCTACGAAACTCGATTACAGCGTACAGTTTTTAATCATACTCCGCTCGCGCTATTTGCAGCACACGACCTTTTTAACGCACGAGAATATTCGATTCTCGAATTCTCGACTGTCATTCGAATAATTTTAATTTAGTTGTCATCACACATATGAATTTCTCTAGCAATTCATGTGTATTTTGGTTCTTTTCCTTTGTTTCATCATTTTATCTTTTTTTATTCGTGTCAAATTAATTTCACTCCGTTTATAAATAAATATCAACGATTTCCCCGGTAAATGCCATAAATTCAGCATAATCAATGCTGAAAATCTGAAATCCGTAACGCTTCATCGATTTCAGCGAAACTCGTAACGTTCCAGAGTTCAAGTCTCAAGTATGAGCGTCGGAGTGTTCGAACAGCTGTTAGCCTTAGTCTACCAGTTCACCCCGATGTGTGACCGCGATCTTATCTCTCCCATTTAACGCAACGCGCTCTTTTCTAATCGATTCGAAACAATGCGAAGGGCGTGCTGGCGGTGCTCGCACGAATCGTGCGAAACATTTTACGGTCCGACGAGCGGAGTTCCAAGCGTTTAAATGCCATTACATCGGAGCCGCTTGACGTTCACAATCGGCGCGGGTATCCGATATCAATGATCTGCCGTTGACGGTTGACGAGCGCAACCCGGTCGCACCGATTAAGTATTCGCGTTCCACGGTGCTCTATTAATTGGCTTCATGACAATTACACCGAGCCGGCGAATTGACGTACGGCGAGGGCTTCCCGTTTGCGGCGTCCGCAGAGGGATCGAACGAACGTCTCGTTATGTACTCGCCATCATTGGAAGCCCCACTTCCGGGCGACACGGTTCCAATTTCCATGCCGGCCGCTCGTCAACGGACGCCCAAAAGTGACGGGCAGGTGGACGGCCGTAACGGTATACCTTCGTACAGTCGTTCGATCCTCTATCGATTCGTGGCGCGCGCGAGTCATTGTAATTACCCGACCGACGACGAACCCTCTAACGTAAGCGTAATTAGGCGGGAACGAGGTTACAACGACGCTAAATTCGTCGCCCGCAACGTGATCTTAATGATTCCACCCTCGTCCAGGGATTCCCGACTTCTTAATAATTGCAAGAGGCTTTTACAACTTCCAATATTCAGTCATTTCTGCGTGGAAAACATTTCTTGTCCTGAAAAGATTATTTTTGTACTTGGAATTAAAAAATGTTTGGTAGATACAATTTCGTTGACAGTAACATGTTTTTTCCTTGTGCCAAGCAAGATGTATCAGTAAGAAAGCAAACATGCAAGCAGCAATTAAATGTTTTTGTTGCCGTTACGAAATATTTGGTTAATCCAATTTTAACCAAATTTTGGCTTGGTGTACTAAATTGTCGTTTCAGTAACAAAATCCTTTTTGCAATATGCGTTACAGCAGTAATGACATTGTGTTGTGTAATAAGTAATCTCGGATTTTTTAGGTAAAAAAACGATGTCTTTTCTCTTCATTGTTCTCTCTAGAATTTCTCAGTTCTAAATGTTAAATAAGTACTTATGTATATGTAAAGATTAGATTGACTTGTAATGTGATTACTTTTATTATTTTGTGATTATTTTGTGTAGAACTGAAGAAGATTGATTGAATACGCTTATTTGTTGTAATGAGTGGATTTCAAGAAATTATAAACGCTTGAACATCCGCGGTTGGACTCTGATAAATCAAGTGATGGTTCGTTTGGTGTACGTCTTGGAGCCATAATATTCGTGAATTTGATTATACTTTTATATAGTTTTGTAAAGTAAAATATGTGAAAAATGGCATAAGATCATGGATTAAAACGGCGCATTCCATAAAATCATACTGACACAAAAATATGTACAATCATTTTAACTGTAAAATTACTTATTATACGACCTAATATACAAATATTTATAGATTTTTGAGAGTTTGATGAATTTATTTCTGTTGAATCGTGACAATTTTTCTTTCCTCTTCCGTAAATTCTCTTTCGCCGATTTGGGAAGATCATTCTTCTGGAAGACGTAACATGCGGTATCATATGATAGTTTCCACGAGCGGTGACAGCAACTTCTTATGTCACAATCGAGCTCCGCAAATACGTGGGCGATGCTATCTTTGCGAAGCGCAACAATCTTTTTGCAGTATACGGTCACCAGAACGAGCCGAGAAATCGAAGCATGCAGAGATAAACGGGCTAGGGCAGAAAGGAAGGGATATCATCAGGTACGTGAATCCCTTCGGGGCTTGAATCCTCTCCACGCAAGCATGTAAGCAGAATGCTCTGGTTTCGCGAAATTCCTCTTGAACGAGCGTACATCTTCGCCAAAGGGCGATCCATTGCGGGTTTACGATCGATACCCTCATAATCACTGGTATAGGATTCGTACAAGTTGTCCTTAGATCACGCCGAGATTCGAAATTGCTTGGGCGTGATCGTCACAAATTTGACGCAAATTCGCCAGCTCGAGAAACATTGCGACGGGAAACGCGAGTTCGAGAGCAAACGTATCATTCGCGCTTAGACACAGACATTTGCGTATTAACGCGATGACCCTGCGACATACGCGAACGGTTAACACGACTTGCCCATGAATGATCCCGACTACTGTGCGCGACTGTAAACGCATTCAGCTCACGCAGTCTGGGTCAATATGAGGTCTAGAGCCGTGCGGTAGTAGCTCGAGAGAACCGCAAGTAATGATTCTTCCTTTCACGCAAAGTGGGACTCGCAGGAAGTCGCTTTAAATAATACTCATCGTTACTGGCACGAACAATCGGGCGATATCACCGTGCAAAAAGCGCGTGGCTCGACGTGGCGGCTTGCGTAAAACCGTGGTCTCTAACGCACCAAGGTGACGGTGGAAACCATCACGAGGAGAAATCGCTTTAAACGCTATCCCCGCGGCGACAAAACGTTCGCGCGATTTCCGAATAATTCAGCCGACTGCTCAATTTCTCAAGCCCGTTCTTAAATCTGTCATAAAAGATTTAGTCTTCGTGATCTGCTCGGAAAATTCGTGCCGCTTCTCTTTAGTGATCGGAGTATTGTGTTATTCAACATTACTCGAATTGATATTTTAGCGCTACTTTCGACTTGAATTTTCTGAAACTGAAATCTGACTTGACGCTTCTAAATAGCAGGAAACATGCAAAATTTCATCTGTAGGTTCTAAAGAAGACGTCTCGACAAAGTTAGTAGGTTAAATCAAGAAAGGTTGATGTAGACTTCAAAGTATCAAAGTAGGCGTTAAATGAAAAGTTGAGGCCAAAAGTAGAATCAAAATTTCGACTCGGGTGTCCGGCGTATTTACTCAAAATTTTAATCCTACTTTCGATCTCGATATTCCATTTAACGCCTATTTTGATACTCTACACCAACTTCTTTTGATTCTATTTGACCTACTAACTATGCCGAGAAGTCCTCTTTAGAATCTAGGAAGTTTGTGCGTGTTTCACCATTTAGAAGTGTTAAGTAGGACGTTAGTTTCTATTAGTTTGTATTAAATATACACTGATCTTCCAGATGTTAGAAAGTTCAGAGGAGTCGCGAAAGTAGGGCTAAAATTTCGGCTCAGGCTGATTTAATATGAAGTTAGTGTGTAAAGTTTGTCGCGTATGTTAAATAAAATAGAAGACGTAATTATCCACTATCGCGAAGGATGAATAGTTTGCATGAATAAAATGGACAATACACGGTATTCTTTTCTAGACATCCAACGAGGACTTCCTATTTTTCTTTCAATGTCCAAAATTTTCCACGAGAATTCAACAGAAAAATAACAAATCTTTCGTATCAATCTAATTCAATAGTTCACACAAAATCGTTAGAAATTGAGGAATGATTCCGTGTGAGATACAAGATTCTTGCAATCAGCCGAGAGATATACGGTGAATAATTAATAGAGGTAAGTAAATATTCTCGCGCACTTTTTCGCGTTATCGTTCATCGTGCTTTAGCCGGCTTAATTGTTCTTGCGCAATCGGCATTCTGTAACGTTGCTGACGACATAATTCCACGGTCACACGCGGCGAGGTGCCGTCACGGAATTTACGAGCGGGTTAATCCATTACGTGAGCCGACTGCCGGTGGACCCGAGTTCTGTCGTCGCGGCGATCACGGCTGTTTTCGCGAACGTTTGCTCTCGGTGCCGGTGCCCGACGTCGAGATTAACCGTCCGTCGTTCGCCACGACGGCCGACAGCGGTCTTTAATTGGTCAATCGGGTCGGATAGAACCGCGGTCTGTCATTATGCCCTTTCGTGGAAAAAGCGCGCGCGACTGTTCGGCTTTTCCGCGTCGCATACATGCGTTTCCGCCTCCCGTGCTTTCGCGCCATAATTGAACGATAAGCCGTAACGGGAGGGAGGAAAAAAAAGATGTCTCGCGTACGGATGAAAGCCTCCAGCTTCGTGGTATTTAACCGGCTGATGGTATAATCGGGCAGACGGATAATTTGAAAGTAATGGAACGAACTTGATGATCGTGCGCGGACGTACAGAATGAAATTAGTCGAGATGGGTATTCATTAAGAGACAGGGGATCCAAGAAATCCCAGGTGTAACCCCCAACTACGAGAGAGTTTGCACGGACGACGCATGTACCGGATCGTGACAGCGTATACCATCGTTCAGATGAACGGGGGAAACGTTTGTGCTCGTCACGATTACAAACGCGCCTCGAGGGACCGGTGAACAGAAAAAAATCTCAGTTCGTGTGACGGAATGAGGACTAGACGAGAACTCATGATTCAGGAATGATATCTCCGTTACCGCAAACATTCGCAAACATTGTTAACAAACTGAAAATTCAGTTGCGTTAAAACTCGGTTCGAGAACACATTTGGCTGAACAGAAATCTCCTGCAAATCTTTCCATTCCTGCACGGAAAAAAATTAGGTTGGATTGACTAAATATCAGGTAAAATATAAACAAATCAAAATTTCAGTTGAATCCTGTTCAAGTTAACAAGATTCTGATGACCAAATCTTGTTAACTAGAATCTTGTTAACTTGAGCAGAATTCTGATAACTTCAATACCGTAATTCTAGTTGATTCATATTTCACCAGGTGTTTGGTTAATCTGACCAAATTTTTTTTTTCGTACAAACGAGTTTTCGTCAGGTCCACAAACAACAAAATCAATTAACAAACCGAATTTTCTTTTCTTTGAATGCACCTCTGAATATGCTGCAACGCTCTTCGGTGACTCCAAGGTTGCGTTCCTTTTGGGCGCTCACGTGTTTTAAGCGCTTACAAACGTCACTCTATCTTTCTTCCGCATCTAATTAGCGATAAATATAGAATGAAATATAGAATGCTTACAGCGGGTGAACGTCCAAAAGGAACGCAACCCAAGTGGCTCTAACGTCGAGCGGAAAAGTCGAATACACACAGATGCGATCTTCAGAATCAGAGTCCATTACGAGAAGTCTGAGAAGCCACGTCACTGGACCAATAGATCAATTGTCACTCTCAGAGATCGACTTGGAGTCGCAGCTTGGCTCGGAAAAGAAAATCGCTACCGAAGCTCGATTCAACGAGCGATTCCGTGCTTCTTCGACGTCAATCTTGACGCGCTTCTGCCTACTCTGCATACGCATGCCTTATGCGCTTTCTCGTCCGCCTCGCACGGCAGACGCACGGCCGTGAACCTTCCCGCCATGTACGCACACGCATTACGCCGGGTAACATCGTAAACCCAATTGCATCTCGCGCGCCGCGGGCTTCGTAGTTGCGCGTGGCTTTATTGACCTATTAGCTATTTACGACTCGTTTTCTAAACATTCCTGGGAGCGCGCGTTTAGCGCAATCAGCTGACGCGTCTCGCAAATTGAAAGCCGTTTTCTCCGCGCGATTTACGAACGTTTAATACGGGAGAACCGCGCCGACCAGTCGGCCGTGAACGCATCTGCTTAAAGCGATCGCAGCGATGCCTGGTTATACGAGACAGATTGGCGGCACCGTTTCCGAAGTCTCTCGACTGTCAGTTTTGCGCTAAAGATAGTCCGCGACTAGGAAGCGTGTAAGTCTGTTGGAAAATGCACAAAAGCGAACCGAAAGCGAGCTTCAGTCGCAGATAATGCGCACCATCCTGCATTCTGCCCCGGAATCAGTTAATCGACATAATGCCTATACAGGATTTAAACCGTCGAAAGACAGGAACCTGCAATTTTCAGTATTAAATAATTGCCACGATAGCGTAGCGCCAGCAACTAGTTCTGGTTACTTATGACTGAGAAGTGATGTAGTGATTCTCTGGAACATTACACATGCGCGTCTTTATCGCAGTATCGTGGCGAATATGTCGATCTAAACGTATACATTATTCGACCATAATGTGAACCACCAACTTGGAGAGCAAGGACAATTAATTCAGTTAACAATTACTGTTATAACAAAGTGTTAAAGATGAATTTTTCACCCTTGGCTCCCCTGCCCGCTCCCGGATGAGGTAAAGGACTAACGCGGTCTGACGGGGAAGCGCGCAGTCAACGGCATTTTCAGGCTTGGAGCATTCAGGATCGCCGCATACACACTCGTATTCAAGTTCAGGGCTAACAAGATCCCGTCTCACCTCTCGCACACGCTCCTCGCGAGGGAACAGAAGGCCCATCTTCCCTTCGTGCAGGAGACGTTGTAAATGCTTCGGTCTTACTTCGCTGCTCGGCTCTCCCACCACTTTCCCACAAGCTCGACCGGCCGCCCTTTACTTTATTGCGTTTTATTTTCAGCGGTCCAGTCCGGCCGCTATTTATTTGGTCTTGTTTTAGTCCCCCACAACTCTGGCGAACTTGCTCCTCAGTGTTCGCTCCTTTTTCATCGTGTTGTCTTCCGATCCTCCACTAGGTATTCGCCGGTACGGCGTTCCCTAGTCGAATAATGTGTACTTTTAGATCGCAATATTATTCGTCTTATAATTCAACATAACTTTAAAATATCGCAATAATATTAACAGTGTACATTGTAATTACTTATTTATTAAATATAAACATATAAAATTTATAAAAATTATTATTAAATATTAACATATTGTACAATAAATTGCAATGATGTCGCAATCATCTAAAACGTAATTCGTAACGATCATTTTGTTTCCTTTACATCGAGAGAATATATTATAGGTTCCTTTTATGCAAATTCTTTTTCATTTTTCCAAGGTTCTAGTAAAACACAGGTATTATAGAGATTGTCAGTAAAATTTATCTCGCTAAAGAATATATTCAATTTCGCTAGAAACATAACAAATTTTTTTAATAATACATCTTAGTTCCTAAAATATAGATAGCACATATGAGATGAAGGGACAGACAATTGCTGCAAAATGTTGTAATTCGTCGGTTGCAAAATTCTTTAGGAATTTTTACTATGAAATTCTCTTCCTGTACATTATCTGTATTGTTCCGCTTATCAAGTAATCGCAAAAAGATCTCAATGTACTCGAATTGTATTCAGAAATCTCATTAAATATTAGGAAAAATGTTTGATTGCAAGATGGGAGAAGAGTATCCTTAGCTCTTTCCCACTAGTAACGATTAACTTCAAATTAACATATGATTCTATAAATTTTACTAATACATGATTATAATTTTAATAATACATGAATGTAAATCCGTGCAAGTTTCAAGAAGGACAGATTCGAGAGATCATGGATTGAAATATTCTTCAAGTACTTTTAATCGTGCGCGAACAATGTCACGATTTTCTTGTTCGCAATGTTCTCTCGTAGGGATCGCATGATCGAAATCCCTTGTCTTCCTTTCGTCATCGGTCGTCAATCGTCGACGGTTGGTGCGAGCTATCGCAATCATTTGCTTTCGCGCAAACAACCAAGTGAAAGTAGCGAGGACCGTGCAAGAAATACACACGTAGAGTTTCATTTTGCAAGCTTAATGGCAAGTCAGATCTCTCGTCAGCCCTGAACTTGGCCGTCATCGTGGCGTTCTGTGCACGTAATCTCGGATGTGGGCGCGTCACGCTCTGCTTTCTTGCAGAAACTTTTGTCCAACACGAATGGAAAGGTCATTCTGACGCGAACACGTTCTTACCCCGCGTGAAAAATTGATCGACGCGTGCGGAGAGATTAATTGCGAGTCGAATACGAGCGAGTATCGATGTTATATTGAGAAAAACCCCTCGGTTATCGGAACAAAAGCACTGTTGTTTACTATTTGATGATCGTTAGAGAGACAGATCGAATAGTTACCGTTGGAAATCATTTCTGATCATTTATCATTTTAACAAACATATATTGCAAATATACAAATTATATTTGTTCTCGCTTTTTTAGGTTAGTTATGTCTCCATTGCAGAAGTGTTGTTTGGAACAGCAAATTGAAAATAACAAATCATTTGTTTTGACTACGGGGTTATTTTCTGTTGCACACGAATAAATCATTGAGGGTATTGATATTTCGTTAAATTAGCGAAACTTTTTATTTCAATGTACGATTGCAATGATCCTCTCGAAAAATCATATCGAACGTCACGGGCGCGGAAAGGATTTATGGCGATCGCGATGAAACGATCCTCAAAAGACAATATGTCGCGCATATATTTTCGGTACTTCATAATAAGCGCACATTTCACTGACGTTTCGTAATCGCGTACTTCTTATGTCAGGATCATCGATAACGCTTATTTTTAATGCACGAATATCGATGAGAGTCTGCGACGCGAACGCGTGAGGGCAAGAAGGGGAAGCGCGGCGACTTTCTATTCACCATGCATTATTTATTTCTCAATAAGTTTGCTCGTTATATTGAAATTGAGTTCGAAAAGACAGCGCGAACTCGGAACAGTGAACATCTGAACAAATAAATTATTCAAAACTGACTCATAAATAAATAGTCAAACATAGTGGTACTTGACGATATGAGCAGTCGCGGTAGGCTCGTGACGCATTTGTGTATGTAGCCGGCTGCGTTACATACAAATCGATTGCACCGTGAAAAGTTTGATCTAAAAAAGTTGTTTCTAAAAGAATCCTTATTACACGGCGCGAAAATATTATTCTACCGGTACACGAATACAGTTGCATCTCGCGTCAAACATCTTGAAATCTTATATTATTACATTCGTGGACGCAGTAACTGCATGATAAATTTTATGAACGTATAATAAACATTTTATGTATCCTTCAAAGAAAGACTTTTATAGTTATTTTATCTATCTGAGTTTCCTTATGTTAGAGAGACTCGCTAAAGTCGTCGATGTCCTTCGATATGTGTGGATATTTTTAATTTTTATAATTTAAATTTAAGACGATTGTAACTTTTTATATGTCCCAAGATACCAAGGTGATATTTTTATTTATATATATATTTTTTATAGTGTTTCATATAAAATTTTATAGCGTCGCGTACATAAAAATGTGTCGCAATGGAGAACGAGATAAGATAATTTATTTTTTTTGCTACTAAATAACTAAAAAGCAATGGAGAACGAGATAAGATAATTTATTTTTTTTGCTACTAAAAAACTGACAGAAATATTTTAGTATAAAGTGCATTTGTAATTTGAGTTTATACACGTGTAGTAATAATTATGAATAACCGTATGATAAATTTTATGAACGTATAATAAATATTTTACTTTTTCTTCAAAGAAAGACTTTTATAGTTATTTTACCTATTTAAAAACTTCTTTATATGCTAGAAATACTCGCTAAAATTAACGATTGTCCTTCGAGATGTGTGGGGATATTTTTCATCTTTATATAAATTTCTAATATTATTTATAATTTCTAATATTATTTTTAATTTCTAATCTTTATTTAAATTTCTAATTTAAATTTAAGACAATTGTAATTTTTTATATGTTCCATAATGAAAGATATGGTAATAATTAAGAATAAGAACATAGTCTAAACACTGCTATATATATCTTTCATTGTCGGTGCATTCTCCTTTAAAATCGTCCTTCGAATTGGAAACGTAAGACATTCTAAATAAAAAAGAGCATTTCAATTTCAGAAGAATTCCAGAAAAACGAATATTCTATATTTCATTTTCTTATTAAACAATTTTTAAGTGCGCAGTACTTTTTATTCATTTTTCTACAGTTTTCTTTTTACTTTTGTACGTATTTTTTGTATATAGGTATATTCGTTCCAATATCGTAATATCTTATTTATTTAAACTTTTACTTATTAGAATATTTCTTAGAACGCTAAAATTAACATGCGTACTGTCAAATCATTAAACAAAACTAATCTAAAATTATCAGCACATTTTCTGTTTTTACATACATGTTATCAGCATATGTAACACGCATCGTAAAATTATCTGCATTGTGATTTTTTACGTCCAACATTTATGTTATTTTTGCGTATATAAAGACCACATGTCACCTATTTTCTTAAATATATTCTTACACAACATTAAGTATATTGTCCTTACTTGTTAACGAAATGGAGGTTGTGAAATGTCTCTTTGAAATTTTGGTAATCGCCATAATAACCATTGTTTCCATCGCTTCAGGGTGTCCAGAAGCCAAAGCTGACGCACTACTTAAGGTATATAATTTTAAATGATTGAATATATTCTAGTATATAGATATATTCTATATTTGAATATATCCCAGTATTGTATATCAGTAAAAAATGTAATTGCCGTTTATTACTTTATATATATATATATATATATATATATATATATATATATATATATAATAAGTTAAATTTATTAAATTTATTTTAGACTGGTGTAATAGCATCATTGGGTAATCGTTAAACGTGCGCGAAAACAGACATGTCAACAATAAAGCGAAGCAAGATGACTATCATAACTAAGTGATATTTGATATTCATGATATAACATGTATAATGCAACATATGCGCATTGCAATGGTGAAATAAATGCATAGTAAAAATTAATGTATCTGTCAAGCTGACAGTGTCGACGTTTAATTAATCACTACTAGAACCTTTCATTGTATATTAAGTATAACTTGCGCCTTAAGATGAAGACTTGCGTTGGAAGATGAAGATATTAATTATTTAATCTTTCCCATAACATTGTCGTTTGTTATAGTTGTAAATCGGAATTTTGGTACCTTTGTAATGTCTGAAAATATATTTTAGTTTAAAGCAAAATGTAATAAAAAGTAAAAACGTAATGAAAAGTAATTCTATTTCTTTTAAAGCATTACCAATGTTGCAGGATCAGCAGCGGTGTCCGCCTTAATAGTCGGCATGACGAAAGTATAACTCTCTGTTCGATAACTGACAATTTATACCGAAAGTTACACCCGGAAATATTGTGGTAGTAAAATGTATCTAAAATATAAAACAGCTTGATGTCTTTTGATATAAAAATTTGATATAAAAACAGAGAATTTTGATCGATAAAAATTTTGTCATGAAATGTATATAAATATACATAGATATATATAATAAAAAAAAAAAAAAATATATATATATATATAATAAAGCGACGTGTTTTACAGATATAAAGAATACAATATTTAATAGTACGGTTTAATATATATGAAATAATTACCAAAGATTGATTTAGATATTTTCAGAGAAAAGGAATAAGCCATGTAAGAGATTTAATAAAAAAAATCTTTTTTGTAATACGCGGCTGGCCCATTTATAATATTGTATACTGTTCGAAAGGATTTGTTTGCGAATAAATGAAACCCATCAGAAGCCTAAAAATGCAACTAAAGATTAAATTATCTCCAGAACAAAAATATATTTTTTTTAATATACTGTACTATGATAACAGTTATATAGCTATGATAACAGTTCTTTTCGTGATTCATTTCAACATTTTATAAACAAGAAATCAATTTTTACTACTGAGCGTGACACTTGATGCGATTAGTTTTTTTCTAGCATTAATATGGAAACGTGGAAGATTACGGTAATTTCAATTTTAGTGCTAAGAAAAAGCATTTTTCGTGCCCCACGTGTATCCATTTGTGCGCCTTTTTCCTGCTTCGTCATCATACGTCAGGAATTCGCACGAATACAGTGCTGTTATTTAAGTTCCTCATATACGTAAGTTATTTAATCCGATTGAGTGTGTAGAACGAGAAAAATATACTCGGGACTTCAAACAGTAATATCGGCATTATGAAAATCAGTAATCTACTGTTGGCTTTTGTTGCGATTATTGTCGCCTTATTCGTAAGTGTAACATCCGCAGACCCTGCACCAGAAGCCGTGAAACTTTTTCGACATACACGTGCTGTAGTAAGTAGTTAATTACATTTATATAATCATCCTCGATTCATATCAATAATTGACCTTTGTAATAATCAACACTTGATTGATATGTTTCTTTAAGTGTTTAATGCTATTTTTGCTGATAAGTAATGCATTCGCTTTCATTAAGAGCATCAGCGATTCAAAGATCGAAATTACACGACAGCTGGAAGAATTAACGTTTTATTTCTTCGAAATTTGAAGAATTATATATGGCTATTATCGCTATTATGACTAATTATCGCTATATTCTCTATATGGTGCTTTAACGATTTATCCTCTCCGCGTTTCAAAGTCTGCACATTTTATGCTTTCAAAAAGTAGCCTAATATAAGTATAAAAGCCTATATGTAAAAGTAGCCTAAACTCGCGTATATATATGATCTTCATTTGTTCCATTGTAAAATTGAAGCATATATTTGTGCTCAGGGAAGAATAGGAGCAGTAGTCGCTCTAAGGCCTAAGAAACCTTCTACTACAACAGTAAGTACGGACACATTATAATTTTCGATATTTATAATTTATATCCTTTAAAACAATAAGTTTGGTGAAAGTTACAGAAATGTCAGTTATCTCATATATATATTGCACACATGTTGATTGGCAAAATTTCGGCATCTGCTTTATAAAAACTGCTTTTCAAAAGAGGGTTTATAAAGTTGGAATAAAAAAAATGTAAGATGGAAAAGTTGTAAAATCAAATGAGAGACTAATATATTTTGAATTAAACTTAAGCATTTTTAATTATTATTTAAACTTGTAGTTATACATATAATTTTTTTAACAAAAAAATATATAACTAAAGAGAGAGAGAGAGATTATATATTTATTTTTATATAAATTTTATATAAATTACAAACACACAAATGCAATTATTTTGTAAGATAAGATTCATAATTTATATTTTTAATGATAAAACTACTTGTCGCTAAATGAATCGCGATTAAAAGATATCTTCGATACTATACTTTGATAGTGTTTCTGATCTTTAAAAAAGTCTTGAAACTTTCAACGCTCTTTGCTGATAATTATTGCGTGCAGTTTGAAATATCTAATGGAGAGAAATAACACGAAGATTAAAATATTTCGCAATGCTGCATCGAGCTCACACGACGAGTTTGTAAAGGGTCAGACTGAGGTGCGCGCGAGGTGCCTCGTTTCAATGCTTGCAATTAGTGCATACCTTTACGACAGGTATACATATTTACCAGCGGCCGCTGTAAAAGTCCCTTCGACTTTACGATTCAGATATGATTACGTCGCGCTAAGTGAGCTTTAGTACATATAGAATCACGCGAGGCGCATTGCCCGCAATTAGTTGCTCTTCTTTGATTCCCGCGAGATCCCGCAATGTCGACTGTGAGGTTCGTCTTTTTTATGATTTTCAATAAGAAACAAAAAAAAATAAATAAAAAAAGAAGAAAAGTACGTCTCTCTCACGACGCCTTAACTCCTACGTATTCATGCTGACGTATTTTTTAGCGTATATCCATTCGCTGAGTTTCTCTTCGACGCGCGTGTACATCTCGCGTTTCGCGAACACGCGCCACGTTACCGTGGCGCGTTGTATTCCTCTCGTTCTACTCGCGAGAATGAACACACCATCGTATCATACATTATCGATCTTTCCGATCTTAACCTACACATTCAGCTATATCATTAGAATGTTTAAGACGCGTCAGTACCGCGTCTTCCCTCAGCGATGGAAAACAATGCACCGCGCGACCGCTCGAATCTTTTCAACGGCTTGCGCGATAAAGCGCCTCGCGAACCCGCACACACAGCGAAAAATTATATTTTATGCGTTGTAAAATCGCGTCCGGTGCCACGCTATCATCGCCAGACCATAAATTGCGCCGCGTCCGTGCTGCATTAGTGATAAATGATAATTATACCTTTGTAGTGAACTTGAGGTACTGGTTCTAGACCTTCGCGCGGCCCACGTACGTCGACCATAAATGATTTTAGCGACTCTTGCCGATCTCATTGCTGCGACTGTGCACTCACGTCGTGTCTTATCTTATGCGACGACAACGTTAGTCGGAAATCTTGTTCAGCGACTGTTACGCACCGACTGACCACTGAACGACTTCGTCGAGCAAAAATATTGTGAATGTACGCGACGTTAGAAATTTATCGCGAGATTTATTGTTAATTTTATCACACAATTACTTTCTTATATTGTTTATTATATCAATTATTTAGGCAAAAATACCGAATAAGGGACATTCATGTAGCCTTGATCTTGACATATATTATGAAGATCACTCTTCTAAGTATTCTTCAATTATGTGTGCAAAAATTATGTTTTATTTGTTAAAAAAAAGTTTTAATAATTTTTTAACAAACAATAAGCGATGCTTAAAACTTTTTGAATGTTACTCAGGATATATTCTTGATAACATATGTCAAGGACAAAGTCATAGAGGAGCTAGATTTCTTATTCAATATTTTTACCAAATTTTATTTTACATTAATTTTTTCGAATAACAATGGATATATGGATATATGGATTTTGTTAGTACATCTGTAAGATATTTTCGTGGGATAGTTTATACGCTCAGAAATTCTGACAAATGAAAATTATGAACAACGTATTATCGGATGTAGCGTGATGGAATCTTATCTTTAATACCTTCAATAATGAACGTTTACAATAATCATTTTCCTATTTGTTTTTGATAATGTATTTTTTTATTTGTAAGAGGAACATAGTTAGGTTTGCACGTAACTTATCACTTTATTAAGTATTATATCTTTATCTTTATAAGGAGGATCTCTGTCTCACCTATGATAACATATTAGATAAACGTCAGGGAAAAATTGCATTTTTCGTGAGGATAGTTGACAATAATAATGTGTCATTGCATGAGTCACACTATCTTATCACTATTTCACAAATCAGAGTTGGGTTCGCTAAATGAGAAATATTGTTTACATATACTTGCAATGATATTTGTGCGCGTTAAACTTGTACGATACATTACGTGTTTCATATGCACGCAGATTTATCAACTTATGTGATTTACTAGTAACCTGTACTATCAACGTAGAGAAAACTCTATTAATTTTTCGGTAGCCACTTGAAGGATATTAAGCGACTTCATTTTAGTACGACACAAAATGAAAATTAAAGTGATGCGCGCCATATTTTTCTGATCTTCTTTTAAGAAATAACTATGTAAAGTTGTGTAAACTGAGATAAAGCTATTTCTTAAAAAAGTATTTTTCTTTCAATTGGCCATAGTTATGTGACAATGAATGCAACATGAGAAATATGTTGCGAAAAAATTAAGAGGAAAAATTGATTTAAAAGTATGATTTAAAAAACATAAGTAACACTGAGGTTCTTTGCAATCGTTCAAGAAGTTAATCATGGTCAATTTTTTTTTCTCTATGAGACTATTCATTGACAAGTTTAATTCTGAAAAAATGAGTAAAAAGACACAATTAGTGAAAAGTGACGCAATTAATAGAAAATGAAAACTGTCTTTTAATTAATTTCAAACATCTACAAGGCACGGACTTTTTTTGTTCTATATAGAAAGACATGTGAACTATCCACTGGGGTAGTTACAAAAACTTAAAAATCATAATTCTGTATGTTAGATCACTCTTGCATAACTATGGTCAATTGATAAGATGTTTAACGAAATTTTCAC